GCTGCAGACCAGAGCTGTTCCTATTCGGCCATCTTGCCAGCCTGAAGTATCTTTTTTAGTAAATAAAATTGAAAGAGCTGCAAACATGTTTAATGTAAAATGCCTTTATCTCTGCATATGGAGAGTCCCCTGAAAGATAGGGCTTATTTCCTAAAAGCTCTCAAGTGGTATTTCCTCTTAACGTAGAGTCACTCATTTTTGTTCCTTTAAAAAAAAATTGTGGCAACATGTAATATTTTCCATCTCAACTTTTTGATATATAATTTAGTGCATTATGTACATTTACAGTGTTGTGCCACCATCACCATCATCCAATTCCAGACCCTTTTCATCATAAACAGAAGCTCTGCCTGTTAATGACTCTCTCCCCCTGCCAGCTCATCTGCATTCTACTTTCTGTCTCTATGAATTTGCCTCTTCTAAGCACCTTCTGTAAGTGGAATCATACAATATTTGTTGTGTTGTGCCTGGCTTATTTCACTTAGGATAACGCTTTCAAGGTTCTTGCATGTTGTAACACATATCAGAATATTGTGTGAATATTCTGCGTTCTGTTTATCATTCACCTGTTGATGATGGACACTTGGGTGGTTTCTACCTTCTGGCTATTGTGAGTAATGCTGCTATGAACATTATCTACAAATATCAATTCAAGTTCCTTTTTACAGTCTTTTTGGGTGTATGCCCAGGAGTGGAACTGCTGGGTTATATGGCAGTTCCATGTTTGACGTTTCAGGAAACTTTGAAGTGTTTTCCACAGTGGCTGTACCATTTTACATGGGTTCCAATTTCTCCACATCCTTGTCAACATTTGCTCTATTTTTTAGCAGTTGTCCTAACAGGCATGGTCTCCCATTGTGGTTTTGATTTCCCTAATGACCAGTGATGTTGTCTTTTCACTCTCTTCATAGTGTCCTTAGACGCTCAAAATATTTTACATTTTTTTTTTTTTTTTGAGACAGGGTCTCACTCTTTTGCCCAGGCTGGAGTGCAGTGGTGCAGTCACAGCTCACTGAAGCCTCAACCTCCTAGGCTCAAATGATTCTCCTGCCTCAGCTACATGGTAGCTGGTACTACAGGCGTGTGCCACCATGCCCGGCTTTTTTATTTTCTGTGGAGACTGGGTCTCACTGTGTTGCCCAGGCTGGTCTTGAACTCCTGGGCTCAAACCATCCTCATGCCTCAGTCACCCAAAGTGCTGGGATTATAACTATAAGCCACCATACCCAGCCCTGATTTTACCTTTTATGAAGTCCTATTTTTTGTTATGGGTTTTTTGTTTTGTTATCTTGTGTCTTTCATTTTGGTATCATATCCAAGAAACCACTGCAAAATCCAAGGTCATGAAGGTTTTCCCAAATGTTTTCATCTAAAAGTTTTATAGTTTTAATTTATATTTAGGTTTTTGATCCATTTTGAGTTAGTTTTTTAACATAATGGTAGGTAAGGGTCCACTTTGTTTTGCATGTGGACATCTGATTTTCCCAGCATCATTTGTTGAAAAGAAGGTGCATTCTCCATTGAAAGGTCTTGGCACCCTATTTTAGCACATGTGTGAGGGATTATTTCTCAACTTTCTCTTCTGTCGGTCTGTCTATATCAGTATGACAATGTTTTGGTTACTGTCGCATTGTAGCAGTAAGTTTTCAAATCAGAAAATGTGCAACTGCTAACATATTTCTTCTTTCTCAAGATTGTTTTGGCTGTTCGGGGTTTCTGTCTCGCTCTGTCACCCAGGCTGGAGTGCAATGGCACGATCTCAGCTCACTGCAATTCTTAATTTTCCTTTTGGACTGCTCATTGTCAGTATATAAAAATGCAACTGATTTTCGTGTTGTATATCCTGCAAATTTCCTGAGCTCTAAGTTTTTGTTTTGGTGTGGAATCTTTAGGATTTCCTACATATAAGATCATGTCATCTATAAACAGAGACGGTTTCACTCCTCCTTTCCAATGTGGATACTTTTTTCTTGTGTAATTGCTCTGTCTAGGACTTTCAGTATTGTGTTGGATAACAGTGGTGAAAGTGGGCATCCTTGCCTTGTTCCCAATCATAGGGGAAAAACTTTTCATCGAGTGTGGTGTTAGCTGTGGGTTATTCATACATGCTGTTTATCATTTGAGATAGTTTCCTTCTACTCCTAGTTTATTGCTTTCATAATAAAAGGATGAATTTTGTCACATCAAGTTTTCCAGCATCAGTTGAGATGATGATGTGGGCTTATTTTGTTGTTGTTCATTCTGTTAATGTAGTATGTTATGTCGGTTGACTTTTGCATGGTGAGTCATCCTTGCATTCCCGGAATGAATCTCACTTGGTCATGGTGTCTATTCCCACTACTATGCTAGTGAATTCAGTTTGCCAGTATTTTGTATCCTGGTCTGTATGTTCTTTTGTTGTAATGTCTTCAACTGGCTCTGGTGTTAGGGTAATACTGGCCTCACTGAATCACTTAAGAAGTGTTCTGGATTCTCTGATTTTTTGGAAGAAACTGAGAAGGATGAGTGTTAACACTTCTTTAAATGTTTGGTAGAATTCATCAGTGAAGCCATCTGGTCTAGGACTTTTCTTATTGGGAGGTTTCTGATTACTGATTCAGTCTCTTCACTTGTCGTAAGTCTAATCATTTCTATTTCTTCCTCATTCAGTTTTGGTATACTGTTTTCAGGAGTCTATTTCATGTAGGTTGCCCTGTTTGGTGGTATACAGTTGTTTCTAATAGTCTCTCTTAACTCATTGTTTCTGCCAAATGTAATGTCCAAACTTTTATTTCAGATTTTAGTAATTCGAGTCTTTTTGTTGTTGTTGAGATGGAGTCTCGCTCTGTCACCCAGGCTGGAGTGCAGTGGCACAATCTCGGCTCACTGCAACCTCTGTCTCCCAGGTTCAAGTGATCCTCCTGCCTCAGCCTCCTGAGTAGCTAGGATTACAGGTGCCCACCACCACACTCAGCTAATTTTTATCTTTTTAGTAGAGATGGGGTTTCACCAGGTTGGCCAGGCTGGTCTCAAACTCCTGACCCCAAGTGATCTACCGGCCTTGGCCTCCCAAAGTGCTGGGATTACAGGCATGAGCCACCATGCCCAGCGAAGTCATCTTAGTCTAGCTAGAGGTTTGTCAATTTTGTTGATCTTTTCAAAGAACCAACTTTTTGGGTTTTTTCTATCACTTTACTATTTTCTGTTTTATCTATCTCTTTTATTATTTTCTTCCTTCTGCCTAGCCTTGGGTTTAGTCTGTTTTCCAGTTCCTTAAGACCATAAAGTTAGCTTATTGAATTATTTTTAAATGTATGTGTTTACAGCTAAAAATTTGCATCTTAGCATTGCTTTTGCTGCATTTTGTAAGTTTTGGCATGTTGTATTTCCTTTTGTCTCAGTATTTTCTGATGTCTCTTATGTTTTCTTTGACCCATCATTTGTTTATTTTCCACATATTTGCAAATGTTCTAGTTTACCTTCAGTTATTGGTATCTAGTTTCATTCTATTATGATCAGAAAAGCTACTTTGTGATTTTAATCTTTACTAAGTCATTAACACTTGTGGCCTGACATATGGTTTATCTTGGAGACGATTCCATTGTGCACTTCAGAAAAATGTATATTCTATTGTTGCTGGGTGGGTGTTCTATATATAGGCGTGTCAGGTTCAATTGGCTTATCGTATTATTCAGGTCTCCTATTTCCTTATCTTCCACCTGGTTGTTCCACCCATTATTTAAAGTGGGGTATTGAAGTCTAAAACTATTACTATAGAACCATTTCTTCCTTCAATTCTGTTAATGTTTGCTTTGTATATCTTGGGGGTCTGATGATAAATGCATATATAATTGTTTGTTATATTTCTGTGAATTTACCTTTTTCTCAATATAGTGTCCTTCTTTGTCCCTTATAACCGTTTTTGACTGAAAGACTATTTTGTCTGATATTAGAATAAGCCACCTCAGCTCTCTGTTAATACTTACATGGACAATCTTTTCCATCCTTTCACTTTCAAGCTGTTTGTCTCTAGATCTCAAGTGAGTCTCCTGTAGACAACATATAGTTGGATGTTTTTTAATCCATGCTACCGATTGCTTCCTTTTGGCTGGAGAATAATCTCTTTAATGACTGATAAGTAAAGACTGACTTGCCACTTCGCTATTTTTCTCTCTGCCTTAGAGTTTTGTCTCTCATTTCCTCCTTACTGTCTTCTTTTGTGTTGATTTTTTTTTTTGTAGTGACACATTTTAATTCCTAATTTTGATACAAGGTACTAGGAAGCATACTGAATACGGCTTCTAAGGGCTGGTCCTAACCAAACTACACAGAGAAAAGTCTAAGATAATGGGCTATGCCCAGTTTACATTCACCTAGCTTCTCCATCTCTTTCCCTGCACCACCTCTTTGGGGACAGGAGACCAAAGAAGCTTGCACAAGTTCTTATCTTCAGTGATTTCAGTGAGTCACTGTGTTAATGAGGACTAGGTCCTCACCCAGAGCATGATGGACAGAGACTACTTCTCCACAGAGGGGAGACCATCTTAAATTATGGTCAATGCTCTTCTTTTTTACTCTTCATTGATTCTGCACCTGTCAGAGGTGGTGTCTCTTGTCACTTGAGTGTGTGCTGCTGCTTCCACCAGCAGTTACTTTGAGATTGTGGTTCCTTCTTTTGATTCTGTTGCTTATGTAAAGGATGGGTCTTGCCAGCCCAGTTCCCCTTTAGAAATTACCAAATCTGTTCAGGTTTTAGTGACTCATCTTGCACATACCAGCTGTCCTTACCCTTTCAATGAAAAAGCAAGCTGTGGCTTGGATCCTTGTGGAGTGTCAGAGGCGGTACTCTGAGCTTACCCAGGGCTACATTTTAGTCATGAAATACATACCTTAGTTCTCACAAATTGGAGCCTTGACTGCCATCTTCTATATTTACTTTGTGGATTTGGGGAGAGCAGTTTTTAGTAACATCTCTAGGACACACAGGTTTGTAAACGTCCTTCTCTCTGTGCTTCTCCTAGGTGCATCATTTCTGGCATGGCTTCAGGAAGCATCGTGCTATTTTACAACGACTTTAACCGGTGGCATCATGAATACCAAACCCGCTACTGATGGTGACAGCTGTGCATTCACTCTGCCCCTAGGACGAGCAGAAGTATCTGCAGCATCATTCTCTTCCACCACATCTGAATGTAACTTAAATTTGCTCAAAGAAGCAAAATATTTTTTAAAGTTATTAATAATTGCTATTTTTGTAGTCTTTGCTTGACTTTTTGGGGGGGATTAGCAAAGCAGAAAACTGGCTGCTGGGTTCTGTAGTTTTAAAAAATCTATATTTTTAGTCATAATGAGAAGTCTATTTTCACCAATTATGGAAACGTACAGTGGAGCAAGTAAACCACTTATTCCAGCTATAATATTATGAAGAACATTTCCCATGCATCTACAAGCTTGAGAAATAGGATTTTCACAGTGGGGAAGTGGGTTACAATATTGGAATAGAAAAATTTGATGCTGTAATTTGGGTCCTGTGTTTTTCCAAACTGTGCTTCTTCAGCACTAATATTTCTGGGATTTAAATAGTAATGTTTAAATTATGGTAAATGTAATTTAAAACATCTCAGTTAATTCTGTCACTATTATTCTTCAAGCATGTTTTAGACCTAGAAAAGTATGGTTTGGGGGAGGCTATTTTATTGTGTGGTTAGCACAAGGAATCTAATTTATAGCAAGTGTGAAATAGTTACCATTTTTTTCCTGATCTGTCATCTTCATTGCACAACAAAATGAAATTATGGAAATGCTCTTGAGCTCACAACATTTGTTTTTCTTTTAAAGTAAATGCAAGTACCAAAGCTCACTACTGCGGTTTGCCTGTGCCCGGACAATGAGGCAGAGCCATTGTTGGGGCACCCTCTTCCCTCCCTGGGTTTGCAAGTAGAGGCTACCAGGTGCTGTATTCAGCAACACCTGTTTTACTATTTGTTATTCAACTATCTCCACCTTCCTTTTGATTAGCAATTTGTACTAAGAAACAACGTTATTTGGTGTTGTATAATTCTACTTTTCTAGTAGATTACTGTGTGGAATTCTGTGAAAAATATTTGAGAAAAGGCCTGTATTGCATAAATAAATTCTTTGTATGTTGTGAACTTTGATCTCTATTTCTCTCGCAATAGACCTCAAGTGGTCCCTCTTTTTTTCCTACACACTCAGCTATTCTCTAAAAGCAATGATTTAGAATGAACAATTCAGTTTGACACAAAAAGCTGAATAAAATGGCATCTGTAATTGAATTGTTGGAAATGCCTTTTTTGCTCCTAAATTTTAAACATTAATAAAATCATGATTCACAAAGAAAATGTCAAACTCTGATTCAGTCCTAGTTTTTCATCAATAACGAACGTGAGAGATCCTCCTGACTGAAAACAGGAAAATAAGCTTTCTTTGGCCAGATCTCTCCTCTTATTGAGACTCACACAAATGACCTAGACCTGAATCTTACAAATGCTAGACAAGGAACTTTATGTACCACTTCATCTGAGATCCATCATTAAGAAAACAGATGATGGTGAAATGTGGGGGAGGGAAAATACATTTTAGAATCAAAGAAATAGGCAAGTTGCTGATAAATTAATCGATGAACATACTGTTAATATCCTCATTAACTTGTGAATATTACACTTTGGAAACTTAACAATGGTAGAAGAAAATAGTAATACCTAAGTCATATGCCACACAAATGATACTTCAACCACCTTATTCTTAACAAGCCTAAAGTAAAGCTCCTCTTGAATCCTAAAAGAAAAAAAAATCAGTATCTCCACTACCTTCATTGTTTTTAAAACTTACAACTAAGGAAAATTAATTGAAACGTAAGTAGGCCAGGCGCAGTGGCTCACGCCTGTAATCCCAGCACTTTGGAAGGCCAAGGCGGGCAAATCACTTAAGGTCAGGAGTTCGAGACCAACCTGGCTAACACGGTGAAACCCTGTCCCTACTAAAAATACAAAAAGTAGCCAGGTGTGGTGGCAGGTGTCTGTTAATCCCAGCTACTCGGGAGGCTGAGGCAGGAGAATTGCTTGAGCCTGGGAGGCGGAGGTTGCAGTGAGCTGAGATTGTGCCATTGCACTCCAGCCTAGGCGACAGAGTGAGACTCCATCTCAAAAAATAATAATTAAAAAGTAAAAAATTAAATATTAAAAAAAGAAAACATGAAACAAATAAGGCTGGCATCAACACAAGGGCTTCTTAATAGAATCTGTTCAGTAATAACATTCACAGTTTATTCAATATTTACTTATTCAATTTTAACTCCTTAAAAAAGCTATTACTTTACATAAATGTAAACCAGTTAAGAAAAGAAGTGAAAGTAGAGGTGTTTTGGGGCTGGAAATGAGGGATCCACAACAGAGGGAGCAGTGCGTCTGCACAGTGAGTGGATGCGGCTGGATGGGCCGTGCTTGGTCCTTGTACGGTAACTGAGGGCTGGTTTAAAATGCAATGCCTCCAGAAATTAAGATTTTCCTCCCTGACATATTGATTCTTACTGAAATATAACCAATCAAGTCCCTGAGATGCTGTCATTTAAGAAATACCATTAGATCTCAGGGAGAAAGCAGGAGGTCTAAGAGACAACATGAACATCTGAAAAACAGAGATAGAAACGTGTAGACAATGCACTCTCAGAGGACAACATCTTACTCCCAAAGTACATCGAAAAGCAATGTTTTCATAAATTACTTCAATAAAAGAGCTATTTTATCCATTGAGAAACATCACACCTCATTTCTGCTTAGCATACACAACAGGAAGATTCAGAGTGTCTCGCATAGGAATCACGAGTCGCCGTGAGTAGGGCATGAGGTCAGGAACTGACAACCTGGAGTTGCCCTTCCCACTCGCTCTAAGAGCAGCCAAGCCAGAAGGTCAGGGGCCAACCGCACACTTGGTGTCACATGTTCTCCTACGCCTGTCAGAGGGGCAGTGAGATGGCAGTGGTTGTGTGAGTCAGGCTTGCAGGAGGAACCTGGGATGCAGCCCCACTGCACCTACTTTGTACCCTTCTTAGCCAATAAAACAGCTGCAGCAGCTCAGATCCACCATGAAAGGTGGTTGAGGTAGAGTATGTTCACTAGGCTTCTTTGATACCTTTTTACTGGCTGTGATCTCAAGAGCTCCTAGCCATGCAAATCATGGGCCTGGTTTAGTCCTTTCTACTGTGACAGTCCCGCCCCATTCTCCATCCCTGCTAAAAAAGACAGCGGACCCACGATATAAACAGATTCCTTCTGGATCCAGAAGCAGAAGTGTCTTTCATTTAAAAGCTGGAATAACCCCCCACTGAGCTTGGTGGAGAAACTTCACCACTTCCTGGTGTGTGTTCGTTATGGATTAGCCCCATAGCCCCACATGAAATCCCATTAGGCCAAAGTGTGTTTACCAACAGAAGCAGAAAGTGACTTTAGTCTCACAATCTGCATAACCTGTACATGAGCAAATGTGCTAGTGCCTCCACTTGGCTATTTTTGCCCTACCACATGGAAGGAAATTGTTTCCTACTTCGAGTAGGAGAACTCCCAGCCCAGCTACCCCCATTTTGTGTAGCATAAAGTTGAATCACTGTTAAATCTGTAGGCTTCACAAGTTATCCTTGCAGAGGAAGGAGGCTGGGAAGTTTCAAAACTTCCTGCTTATAAGAAGGAAGGGCAAGACCATAAAGTAGCAAATACATAAACAGCCAAACAAACCATTTTAAAGTTCTACTTACTCTCAGATAAGTGAGAGAAAAATCTTTTGGGTTTTTCTTTTAGAAAGACTTGAAAAGTCAACATGATGAACTTCTTGCGTGCTCTAGAGTCATAAGATCGCTAAAGACGCAAGACGACTGTTAACGCCACTGACATACCACTCCCAGCCCTGGCTGCTGTGAACCAGAACTGCAGACTGCTCAGAGCAAAGCACATCACATTTTTCTCTCTAATGAAATGAAGCGTAGTTTGGCCTTTAGGCAAGCAATCTGTTTTGAGAGAGTTGGGCTCCTCCAGCAAGGTCAGAAGGCAAACTGTGAATGCTCCTATGAGATCTTGGCAATCTATGCCAGAAACATGAAGTGAACTATTTTTCTGTCCCAAATTCAGGAATATTTTTCCTGGCCAAAACCAAGATTCCAGGGAGTTGAGCAGGCTTGTCACTTCTCATACCTGGCACGAAGCTGGCTGCTTTGCAGCTTTGGCCTTGGATAATTTGAAAGACATCCCCAGAACTGACTTCAGCCTCAACACAGGCAGGCATCCAACCATGCCTCGCAATACAACAGACTCAGCCCGCATGACCGCGCTGGAGGCCTGTGGTGTCCAGGTCCGTCCAAAATGAAGAGGCATGGTAGGGGCCGATGACTGTCTCTCTACCAAATACAAGCTTTTCCTCCCTCAGCCATTCAACACAGGCAAGGCCTTCCCACAGCTGTCTCCGAGTTCAAGGCTTTGGTTTTTATCATAAGATTGCCCCTTAGAACCCCCTAGCCAAGACTCACCAAAGTTGCACATGTCAGCCTCCCTCTGGAAAAACCACTCTGACTTTGATCTAAATGGCTACAGGACTTTAACACTTAAGCACCCCTGCTCTGATAACTTCTCAGCCACTGACAAAGTGGTAGAAAATGACGGGTGGTTTGGCCTTTAGGCAAGCTTTTTTTTTTTTTTTTTTTTTTTTTTTGAGACAGAGTTTCGCTCTTGTTGCCCAGGCTGGAGTGCAATGGTGCAATCTTGGCTCACCGCAACCTCCGGCTCTCAGGTTCAAGCGATTCTCCTGCCTCAGCCTCCTGAGTAGGTGGGGTTACAGGCATGCGCCACCGTGCCTACTTTTGTATTTTTA